CTTATCAGTTGACCAATCCATGCTAGGGTTCGGTCATCACCATAAAATGTCTAGTTCTAATGATTATGCAGTCAATTAATCCTCGAGGTATTAAGATTTTCCAGTCTATGTTTCATCTCATACCTTTAAATCAAACAATTAAAAGAGCATATTGATTATATGCGGAATCTCATTTCATGCGAACTCATATTTTACTAGAATCTGTGAAGGATTAAGCATACAATAGATAGCGACAAGGGTAATTATGAAACAATTATGAGATGATGTAAATTTAGATCCAACTTCTTAAATGAATTATCTCAGATACTTTTCTCAACATTTTACCTACCAAGCTTCACTCCAATCAATTAGGTCTGATACGACGTATAGTGGGTTAATCAGATTACGTTCTCAGCCTTTGTGAGTCCAAAATCAATCATTTTGACCAATATAACTATTTGAACTAAATTCAGCTAAAAGAAGAATGAACAAAGTCAATTTAGTTTCACAAAAATCGTCATTTGGATTGCCAAAAAACACGGGCTTGGGAACGTCAGCGTCACGGCTACGAAAACCGACAGGACATTTTCAATAGCTATTGTAACCTCCTCTTTCTGCTAATTAGAAAAAATATATATGCATTGTCCATAAATTTTAATACTTTAGTATTTTAGTCATCCAACCATCAGAATTTTTCCAATTTTTTAAATGCTCAACATGATTAGAGACGGTTGAGGAAACAAAGAACTTGGACCTTTCATAAAGTCATAGAATCACAGCCGAAAGAGGACAGAGAAGCTCCATACCTTCCCTCATTGTTTCAGTTTTTCTTTCACTTCGTGCTCCTTTTCGGGTAAACAATGCTTTTGGCATACAGTGCATAAGCGCTTACATCAGCACCTGCAGCCATTAGCCAAAGCATTATAAGCACATAAAGATTTTAAAGCAACTTAATTGAGGAAATGGTAAAATCAATTTGAAGTTGCAAGTAAAGACAGTAAAATTGTCTAACAACAACTAACAAATTTTTACAAAATTAGTAATTAACTTTCAATTAAACAAAATTACAATAACAAACCGTATCAAACAACAAACCACAAGTCAAATAGTCAGTTATGTGTAGAAGAAAACACCACAATTAGCAGTCGCCTATTATCTATTAAAAAACGAGGATAGGCTATAATGTGGACAAGATAATGCCTAATATCTAGCCAGACATGGCTTCCATAATACTTAGAACTATGCTTCTTGGAATTCGTATCACTAATGTAATAATTATCAATAACTAATCTGGAGACAGTTTCTTATAGTTAGACAATTACTTAATACTCAAATCTTGAATATTAAGTCGAGGAAATTCTTTCACAACATGTTCGTTACGGACCAACGTAGCTTTCTTCACTAAAACACTCGATTTAAAGTAGAGGCAGGAAGAATTAACAGCATGGAGATTCTCATCAAAATCAAAATATCAGTAATATGAAGATCATTATTAGGATTTGTAGGATGCAAGTGGAGAAATGGAAAAGAGCATACATGGAGTATGTTAATATCACCAATGGCCATCATCCAAATTGTTTATTGTGCCTCATTTAACATGAAATGTCAAATCAACTGCATGTCAGGAGCAGCAAATGTGTTCTCAGTGATCCATTTTAACGGTCCTTCCATTTCCAATTAAATGCCTCGTTGCGTAACTCGATTATCAAATGGATAATTTCCAATTTGATTTCAACTTGATTTCATTTGTTTGAGTGCATTTCTAATCAAATCATTGAGCTTGTGGATAAAATTTCATTTCCCTTTCTTTTTCCCTTTTTTCTTTGGGCATGGAAAGGAAAGAACACAAGCACTTATACAAGATCAAACTCCGATCAATTTTCGTGAAAGCATAAACTTCTAACACTTAAGCACATATTTTATACTTGTATGAAAATTTTGAGTAATTCTGACAGAAATTCTATGGAATCATCGGATGGCTCCCTTATGGAGTCATCCATCACTTTATGTATTGACACATGTCCAATGTGTATTTATTGCAGGACACGTGTCAATACATCAGTTGTGAATAACTATAGACGGCTCCATAAGCCGAGCCATCTGATGGCTCAATAGCAAAACTGGTAATTATGAATCCAAATCCTCGAATAATAATTTGTATGCTATACACCATAAAACATAACGTAGAGCTCATATAGATAAACTACCTCTATCTTTTTCGATCCTATTCACACATTAACATAAATTCCAATTCCATTGACCCATCGACATGTGTTCGAATCGGGATTGAACTTTATTTGTACGAATATATTTCGAACTCATAATATGAATTCAAATGCTTAATCCCATTGGTTTCATGTTGCGAAGATCAATTTTAATCCCAATTTGTTGCAGAGTAACAGCAAAAGTTCTTCCCCCAAAATTCAAATCCTCATACATCCACAAACTACATTTTAATTGATATTCATCTTACGAAATTTCTTAATCCAAACCATCAATTCCAATTAGCATAACAGAATACGGAAATGAATTTGTTTGGCACATATAATTACGAAATTAATAAAATTCCTTTAAATAATTTTAAATTTTTTCCTCAAAAAAAAATATATATATATATATATATAAAAAAAACCTGCGGCAGCCTCCACCAATCCCCTACGGCCGCAGTTGCTCGCCTCTGGACTCGACGAATCACATTGCTCCATAAATTTATCTGCCATAACTGAATACATATCCGCGCAATTAATATTCACAGTTTTGTTTTTTTTTTTTCAGAAACCCTAGGATTCCTTTCACACATTGCTGTATTTTAACTGCATCAAGTTGCCAAATGTGGGGAAACACTCAGAAATGTGAAACTGTGATTTTTTTTTTTTTCCTAAAAAGGGATCAATACTGGTTCCCTAATTTTATCGGGTGACTCGAACTCGAGACATGGTACACGCCGAGCGAAGGTATGCACCACTGTGAAACTGTGAATTTATTCGACCTTTTCTTCGTGAGAAAGGGGATAGAATAGTTGAAGATGAGCTCGCTTTTGGGTTACCAAATGTGAAAGCGGAAGTTTAAAACAATTATTTTAATAAGCGGATAAGGTTAGTGATTAGTGGACGTTGACTGACCTCTTTGTGTGTTGACATGATAATATTTGATATGTTTTGAGATGCAGAAATACAATTAATATTAGTACAAAATCGTCTGTGTATTACACAGATGTTTTGCAAATTTTTTTCTTTTAAAAAATTAAAATTAATGAAAAAAAGTAGTTGAAAATTTAAATATTTTCTATAAAAAATATAATTGTAGATTATATGTTTAGTATGACACTTTTTATTTATGCGACTTACCTGTATTATATTATAATATTTTTTTAACTTACAACATATAACTACATTAAACATAAATATATCAATTGAGAAATAATTTTATTTTTCTAATGAATTTTATTAAATATTATTATTTTTTATTATTATAAAGATAAATATAATTTATTTATTTCATATATACAATATGGATGTCAAATCGAAGATAATCAAAATATGATTAATTTGATATATTATATATGTAAAAAAGTTGTCAACTTTTAAAATACATTTACAGTTCAATAGCTAATTATAGGAAGCAAATCAAAATTGAAGGATATATTAGTCACTTAGTGGCTCACTATGTAAAAATTACAAAGAATTAAAGGGTTATATTAAT